AAAAAAAAACAAGTAAAGGAAAGAAAATTATACTCTGATTTTGTTTTTGAACAGTGTACAAAGGTTAAATATGTCAGTAGCAAAGTAAATTCAACAGTCTATTAAAATAGAGAAAACAATAGTGAAAGGAAGTTTACACCAGGGAGACAAGAATTGTTCATTATCCAAAACTGTAATATATTACACAAAACTAGCAGACAAAAGAATGATGCATAAAATTATTATAAAGTTTTTAAAGTTTTTATTAGTGCATTATACATAAGAGTGGGGTTCATTTTGGCATAATTATATATAATGTCTCCCTTCTTCCTCTCCCTTCCTCCCTTCCTCTACTCTACCAGCCTTCCTTCTGTTTATTTATTGTTTTATTCACTGGTTCTTTATACATAGATGTGGAATTCACTGTGGTATATTTATATGTGAACACAGCATAATTTGGTCAGTTTCTGTTCCTCCCTTTTCCCATCTCTTCTCCCTCCCCATCAATCCCCTTCTACGCCACTGATCTTCCTTCTATTTTACTGCCTCTTGATTTTTGCCTTATTTTTCTCTATATTTTACATATGAAGGAAAACATTCAACCCTTGACTTTTTGAGTCTGGCTTAGTTCACTTAGCATGATGTTCTCTAGTTCCATCCATTTACTAGAAAATGACATAGTTTCATTCTTGTCTGTGGCTGAGTAAATCTCCATTGTGTTATATACCACATTGTTTATCCATTATCTATGGACAGGCACCTGGGCTGGCTATGATGAATTGAGCAACTATAAATACCGATGTGCCTGTATCACTAGAGCATGATGATTTTTGTTCTTTTTGGATAATTACCAAAGAGTAGGATAGCTAGATCTTATGATGGATCCATTCCTGATCTTTTGAGAAATCTCCATTCTGTTTTCCAAAGTGGTTGCACTAATTTGCAGTCCCATCAATAATGTAAGAATGTACCCTTTCCCCCACACCTTCCCAGCATTTACTATGGTGTATATGCTTGATGTTTTTCAGTCTAGCGAGTGAGAGGAAATCTCAATGTAGTTTTTGATTTGCATTCCCCTGATTGCTGGGGCCATTGGAATTTCTTCTTTTGAGAAATGTCTGTTTAATTCATTTGACATTTTTATTGATTGGGTTATTTGTGGGTGGTTTTTGGTGTTTTTCTTTTTTTTATTTCTTTATATATCTTGGACCTTATTTCCTGCCAGAGGAGTAACTGGCCAAGATTTTTTCCCATTCTGTAGGCTTTCTCTTCATGTTCTTACTTCCTTTGCTCTGCAGAAGCCTTTTAATTTGATTTCATCCCACACTCATCATTTTTTAGAAATTATATTCTTTATGGTCATTAGTATTTACTATTGTAACAAAGGTCATATCATGTTCAGAAAGGGAAGAAAAATAAAAAAGCAGAAAGAAGTACAAAGCAAAGAACCTCAGTGTTTTTATTTGTATTTAATAGACTGATCATAGAAAAGTACAGTTTGCTACTGTATAATTCTTACACCTAAAAGATTTCAGCAAGGTTTTTACATATAGGATCAAGGTCTCAAATATGTATCAATAATAATTAATTTCTAAATGTAGTAGAATCTCACGCACAAAAGGAACATAAAGAAAAGACACCTTGTACTAAATCAACAAAAAAATATATATATAGAACATTTGTGGAGAAATGCTTCAATGATTATTGAAGGACAAAGAAAGAAGAAAAAAGATTTAAATGAAGGAAAAATATACTTGTAACAATAACTGATAAACTTACAAATCTACATAGGTGGATACAAAATGAACTTCTGGTATATGTCCTAGAGAAAGATTCAGAGTCCACTTGTTTGTAATAGAGGAAAGTTGAGCATATTCAAACTTCCACCAAAACACATTGAAAATTTGTCAATTTGTCAATACTGATAAAA